CGTAACCAAACTGCTTATGATTCAATCTGAAATAACTCCTCAAATTATCTTCTTCTAATGATAAATGATTCTTTATTAACAGACAGAAAGATCCTTCTTCACGTCTGGTTTTCAATATTGAACTCATAGGTTTTCTTTGTTTCTTTCGCGACAAATAACACAGCAACACGTCATCTTCTTCTCATTCTTCGAGTAACCTTTTTAGAAGCATTTTTATACTCATTTTTCACAGAATATGTGCACGTATGTCTCAACAAAACAAAGAAAACAAACACTTTGCCGCATGTCTCGGTCGTCGCCTCAAAAGTGTGTGGCGACAAGCTGCGATGTGTCCGTCTCCCGTCTCTGTCGCGTGCCTCGGTCGCTTGTCTCTGTCGCGTGCAGCCAAAATTGTACCTTTACTGCTGAGATGGGGGTGACAATTTTCGTGAGTGTGGAGTTTCTATTAAATCTTAAAAATAACTTTGGCCTTTGAGCTATTCGTCTATCGCTCATGTATTTTATATATAAGATTTTAATAAATCTGGTCGGGAAATCTGTAAGGAACAAATCATTTGGAAGCAATATTAAAATATGTCGGATATGGATTCATCTGGCGCAGAACACAGATCAGTGGCTGACTCTTGTGAATACGTTAATGAAACTTTGGGTTCCGTAAAAGCCGACTAATTTCTGACAAGTTGAGTTACTATTTAAGGAAATAACAGCTGTTTAATCTGACAATCATACGAGAACTTATAAATGTCCTCCGTGAGAAAAAACATAGTTACTTAATGTTAAAGCAGGTGGTACATATAATTACCAATTGACTTTAAAGGGTTAATGTTAACGTGATAGGCCTAAGAAGATATGAGATTATAACAAAGAATTTTTTCAGTAATGTAATCAGAATTATGAGATTTAATCCAATGACACAAGGAACAAATACATTTTATCGCAATTATAACTGCATTCAACCACAAATTCTACAGAGACCGAATCCCCTGCGTTATGAATGCAGCCGAGTTCCTCTGTGATTTCATGTATGATAAGCGATACTGGTGATCAACACTTGATGCACACGAATTCAAGTCAACTGTTTAATGTACCAACATTCTGCTCATCAAAATCAACTTACGTCGAGGTTCTTGTTCCACGACGGACTCCAGGAAGTCTTGGGGCGTCATGTAGAGCTGGCCGTCATACTCGACAGACGCAAACTTGATGAAGCGTCTCTCCCTGGACGTCAGCTTCACAGCGCGCACGAGTTCATCATCCATCTGAAGCAAAGGATTACAGAACACATCACAAATACAGGTGGAGTACACATAACTCCAAAACGCGATCCTCGCTGGACCTTATCATGTCTTAAGGCACACAGCTTCCTTCATCTCCACCTGATTAATCACCTTTATAACTTAATACGGACTTAATTACTTAAAGGAATTTAACACCATGATTGATTCATTTTAGTAACATGAAAATAGCAGTCAACATATTGCATGCTTCAAGGTCACAACAAAATCGAACAACGTTACAAATATCTACCAGACTATACGGCGTAATATTCCACAAGACCATCATCTTTATATTTGCCACCGTGAGAACCTGAAATCTCACCAGGCTATTATGTTTGATACTGAAGATTTCTGTCTTCTGGGTTGTTGCATTGTGTAGTCTGGTCGATGTTAACCAACGTTTCAGAGGTCATACTGCCTCCATCATCAGGGCGATGAGTATGAAGATTTCTGTCTTCTGGGTTGTTGCGCTGTGTATGCGGGTCGATGTTTACCAACGTTTCGGAGGTCATACTGCGTCCGTCATCAGGGCAGTATGACCTCTGAAACGTTGGTGGACATCGACCAGACTACACATTGCAACAACCCAGAAGACAGAAATCTTCATACTCACCGCTGTGAAAACCTCAAATCATACATGTCTGATACTGTCCACTGTCTCGGCGTATATATGATATTCATGACGTTTCGGGAGTTCGCCTACCCCTGTATTAAGGAGATTGGTAGTCGTTACACTGACAACATAAAGTACTAGCTTGATATTCAAAGGTCCCAAACGTCGTCACTAATATTCAAATAAAAAGTAATAAAAAAATATCAATAATGTACTCGGACAGAAAGTATGAAGAAGACAAGGCAGGCATTTCCTTCAGTAACTGTATCTGCTGTAAAGGATCTACGAACAGACTCCACGAAACTGTGACGCAGGATTTGAAGAAAGACAAAATATATGGAAAGCAATTTTTTTAAGAACTGCAATAATTTTCTTCAGAAACAGCTACTTGGACACAGAAATACAATGGACGATGTTCTGGTGAGCGTGAATACATTACTTTCATATATCATCTCGTCGTAAGGAAACGGGTTCGAGATGGCATGGGCTATAAAACATTTTATAATTATAAATATGCGAGTCTAATGTTATTTAGGGGCGGGAGAGAAATTTTTATAGTACGAGCAAGCCAACAGGTGTCGTTTCATATCGTTTTAATGCTGTCTCCATGGTCGTAAAACTTTCCAAAGTCTGAAGAATAACGGTCACTTGGCGACTGACGCTCAAGGCGGGGGGGGAGAATGCATTAGAGCAGAGATACGCCGAGTCGAGAAAGACTGGTCCTTCACGCAACGATTTCCAAACACAAGTTTCCTTCCACACAGATGGCGCGCTGCTTACCAGCTTCACAATAGCAAATAAGAGCACATACGAGGTGCGATCGGAAAGTTTCTAGACTGCGCCTATAAAAACCCGTACACTTATCTCAGGTATTAAATTCATCCATCACCCTCGAAGTAGTTCCCCTGGGAGTGAACACAACGATCCCAGCGCCGCTGCCAAGCCTGGAAGCATCCCTGGAAATCTTTCTTTGTCAGCCTGTCAAGCACCATCTGCGATTCTGCCTGAATCTCTTCTATCGTCTCAAATCTCCTTCCCTTTAGCTGAATTTTCATCTTTGGGAAGAGGAAGAAGTCACACGGAGCTTAGAAAGGAAGTTGGGGGGTCGGTTCTTGCAAGATCTTTGAGCTCCTGACAAACGAGAAATCGATTCTGCTTCTGGTCCTCAGACAGGATGCGTCGCATGTGGAGTTCTTCCTTTAGAATCAGCTGACAGGTCCCATAGCCTATCCCAACAATGTCGCACAAGTCGTTGATGGTACGACGTCGATCTTCGTGAATGGCCTGCCGAATCTTCGTAACATTTTCGGGCGTTGTGCTCGAAGATGGTCGTCCAGAACGCTCGTCATCATCGACAGAGGTTCGGCCATTTTTAAAACGTGAATGCCACACAAAAGCTTGTGCACGACCCATTGCGGACTCCCCAAATGCTTGCTTTAGCATTTCATAGGTTTCCGTAGCCGTTTTGGCGAGTCTTTGGCAAAATTTGATGCACACGCCATTCCGAAATCGCAGGAGGGCGGAGTAATGCACTACCGAAACGCCCGTAACTAAGAAACAAATGCTAATTCGATGATGCCGGCTGGCCCACTGATTCACTATGAATGTAGGCCGCACCCCCTAAAGGCAGAAGCTCGTACTACATCCGGTTCGCCCGCTATTGACACAGTCTTGAAACTTTCCGATCGCACCTCGTGATTATGATGAATGCAACTGTATTATTATCTCTGCTCTCGAGAAACTGTGTGACTTTATAAAGTTGAATCATCTCTCCGTCTACAACACACGAAGTAAATTAAAATCAAATGCAGTTACCTGCCGACTCTTAGATTACATAACCACGTCGTATTGGTGACAGAGGTTGTATTGTCTGCAATGAAGGAAAGATTATAATGAATGGTAAATAGTTAAGAATATGAAAGTAGGGGGTCGTGATATATTTATGAGTACCATTCCGGAATTCGCCTAGACAGACTGAGGTAAACCACAAAGTATACGTCAAGAAAGCCAGTAACATGGCCGAGATTCGAACTTTATACCTTCAAAATACCGCTATACTAACCTGTTCGGGGCAAATGAAGTCTGCAATTTCGCATTTGAAAACTCGATATTGCAGAGCACGAAGCCGTTTGTTGTATTGTAACATCTCAGAGAGATAATAAGCCCCCAGACCCAGGGGGGGAAGGTCGAACTTGCGTCCTCCGGGAAGCAGTACAGTTTTATCCAATTTAGACGCGCGTGGGCTCGATCTCGTGACGCGCCTCTGGAGCGAGGCCAGGTGATGCAGTCACGTCCGCATCAGGTGACCCTCCTGCATTTCTTTTGGGTTTCCAAGTTCGAAATTCCTCCTCTCTGAGTCTTTATATCCCAGCAACGAGCAGTCGGGACCAACAGTGCAATTTCCGGGGGATTATTCTTTCGTGGTATTTCGAACCTTCATTCAGAAGTGTAGTCGGAAAACCTCAAGGGAGATGACCACTTGAGACAAAAAGAATATCATGAGGTGATATTGTTGCGTCATATTGTGATGATTATAATTGCTTATTTTAACCGTCTAATCACAATAAAATATTTTATTAAATATTAAAATATTATTACTATAATTAACATTTAATATGTAAAATATATTAAAATATATATTAAAATGATGCTCTTTCTATCGAAATGTTCGATTTACAATTAGAGCATCATTAATATATTTTAAATATTAAATGTTAATTATAGTAATAATATTTTAATATTTAATAAAATATTTTATTGTGATTAGACGGTTAAAATAAAACAAAAAGAATATCATCAAAATGAATTTTTAAAGACATCAGACACTGTCTATTGTCTGAGAGAGGCCTTATATTTCATACACTCGACGTTTCGGGAGTTAGCTGTACTCCTGTCCCATAAATCTGACGGATCGTTTAATGTCTTTGGTGGGAGGGGCAGTTGGTATCAAACTTGGTACATTTTTAATACTAAACTACGCTAGTATTCTAATCACTTTACAACCAGGACACGAGTTGAACCAACTCTCTAAACGTCGTATAGGTTAATATCAACTCAGACGATGAACAAATCCAACATATCAGAACGATGATTCAGCAACTGTCGCAAATCTTACAGAACAACTGAAATTTGTCTGTAAGAACCAGGTTTTGTGAGTGTAGACAGAAGTCATCTGCCTCAGGACATGGTCCACTGGAGGACTCTTGTCAACACGGTAAAAAGACCCTCGGGTTTATGGCAACAGAATTCCACTGCCGCGTTAACAACAGTACGCAATTTATCCCTTCATAGCCTTCAACAGCATTTTAATATTATCCTCCACATACGCCTAGGACTCCACGGTGGTCTAGCGGTTAGAACGCTGGCCTTGTAATCCTGGGGTCTCGGGTTCGATTCCCGGCGGTGCCCGAATTTATAACTTGTGTTGGGCAAGGCCGTGGTCTAGGCAACACGGAGTTTTCCTCCGTGGCATCCCAACAATTACTCCATTCACACACAGAAGAAGGCAATGGCAAACCAGTTCTGGATCATCTGCCAAGAACGTATATGAACATGTCCCAGTCCGAGAAAAGGATGGAAGGATCCTGTTCATATGGGCCTGTCCTCAGACAGAACACTAAATAAAATAAAAATAATAATAATACGCCTAGGTCGTCAGAGTACTATCATTCACACTACATGAACCGTCCTAACATTCTATTCAGCACCCTGTCTCAACACACTCAACATATGTTCTCTCAAGTTTAGTGTGCTATTATATCTCGCTCTACTTTTGTTATGGTTTATCACCTTCTGCGTTCATGCACCGTAGAACAGCCTCAAGACTACGAATGAAGAATCGAGAAGGGATGAAGTGGTCATGACTTAATTTAACTATCCCAGTCTTAGTCGGGAGAGACAACGATAAACCAGAATAAAATTTTCATAAAAATACAGCAAACCCTCGACCTCGGGTAATACATTCTTCGAAATAAGCGTTATCCGTGAATTCGCGTCGGAAAAACTTGATGTATGGGATTAATTGGGACTGGGATTCGAACCGAGTGTCTTTGTATGCTCTATGTCTCCAAATGCTTCGTTATGTGGATGAGTTGATGGTCGATTCTGACACGTCACACTCATTCTAATTATAAAGGTGTCGCTTGGCCCCTGGTTCTGGCAGGCCCAAATCATATGACAGACAGACAAACAGACAGACGTGTTGACAAAGAATCTGTAAGCGACGCAGATTCCGAACTGCATATAAGTTCCGGCATCGCCAGACAAGAAGAACGATGCATTAACACGTTTACCGGGTTAATTTGATTCATCCTATTATAACGCTTTGCCAGAGATACGATGAGGACGTGAAAACTCTTAAATTAAGAAC